CTGAACATGAAGAACCTGTAAATTTGTACAATATTACAGCAAAGCAACAAATACTTTACAGTTTAGCTTTCAAGTGTACATTGAAAAATACTAGATTTATAAAAGTATATGCACTGTTTACTAAACAGGCTTAAAAGTATTCAAATGAAATCCTGGAATATTTCAAAATTTAAGAACATTGCCCAATGCACATTTGAGGCCCTATATAGCAGGAGTTTAAATCTTGTTTTATCATTGAAATGATTAGCTCTAAAAGCAGCTGTAGCCTAAGAACATATACAAGCACATTTGAATCTCACCTTCTTACCAGACCTTTTGTAAGATTTTTATTTAAGAGAACTGTAACATAAAAAAAAACCCCACTACAAACAACAAACCACCTTTCAGCAGCCACAGTACTCACAAACTAACATTAGCCCCTTTAATGGAGAAAACTTTGCTGAGAACAAAAAAAGAAACAAACTAATGAAAATAAATTATTAAAAGATAGGCTTAGTTTGATATTTATAAATTCCATCAATAGCGTACTAGCATATAGAAGAACAGATTATTTTTGAAAAAAAGAATGTTCATTCTCTAGGGCAAACTTCGCCATTTAAAGTACAAGGATAAGCAATGCCCATGCTCTGCATTTTCTGCATCCCATCCTCTCTTCAAAAAAAGCTAAGGATTAATTTTTAACAGCTTACCTGTATTAGTAACCTCAAAAGATTATTAAGTATCCATTACCAGAAACCAACAAGTCTAAAATTGATAAATTATTAATCTTTAAAAAAGTATTTATCTGATGGAGTTTATTTGTATTTTCAAACAGAAAGGTAGTCTATGGCTGAAAAATTATTCTTAGTAAGAAAACAGAACAAGGAAATGGAATACCATATCACTACTAATATCAATGTACTTATAATAAATAAGCCTATGGTCACAAAATTACCTGCAGGGTTTCATCTTTTGGAGATCTAGAACGCCTCTTTCTTGGAGTTGATTGGAGAGGATATTCAAATCTGGAAGAAATATTTAAAAAGACAACCATTTTTTTGTCAAATAGCGGATGACAAAATTCCTGTTATTAAGATACCTGACCTAGCAGCGGTTGTGCATTTTCAACAATACACACATATCACTTTTAAAGGCTTTAACTACATCAAAATACTTCTAAGTTTCTGCCTAAAAATGACTACCCTCAAAACAAAATCAAAATGATCTCTCTAGACGATTCTATCTTTATTGGTTTAGCGTAACGTAATATAAAAGTGATTAAAAAAAAATCTTTAAGCAATCCTGCCTTCTGAAGAAGGTCTATAAGACATTGTAAAGAAATATGAAATAAACAAGATTAACTTCGGTTTCTGAGGATGGTAAAAGGACATTTTAACTTTTACAGATTTATCTACAGCCATCTTTTGTATCTTCAGCCAGCAATAAGAGCTTGTGTCCACAAAGCTCTCTGCACGGTTTGCCTGCAGAACGCACTCTAGGATCGAGGCATTAAGAGTTTGTCACTGGCACTTACCTGAAAGAACGATCAATAATAGTTAACACATCTCCATGCTTCAGAGGTACAGGTTGCTGAAAACAACCACCATTCAGCTGCGTAGGATTCACTGTACTTAAATTAGTCAATATTGCCTAAAAATAAAACAAACATTTCAGCAGCCTGATGAGATGCAACGATGCAATGCATATGTCATTAAAACACGTATATCTCACCTCCTTGTTTTCATTTACTTCAATTTTACAATGTTCTTTCGAAACCTGAGGTAACTGGATGCGAATATCACATTCTGTTCTCCTGTGGGTGAAAATACTATTTCAGTTTCAAGACACACAGAAGACAGAAAAATTTGACTGCTATAGAATTAGGTGAGTTCCCAACTTTTCAGCTAATAAATATACAGCAGCATGGTGCTTTCTTAAATGTGGTAACGTAAAAAAACCGAATTACCTAAGTCTTTCAACTGTGGCAAAAAATAACAGGAGCTCACACTTCTACAACATCAGAGAAGCTGCAGCCGCAAAAAACCGTACAACACCCAAATTCTGAAAAAAAGCAGCTCACGACAAGCTGAAAGAGACAAGTCTGCAACAGGTATCTGGTGGCTTGAGATTACTTGTTTCCTGATTTCCGAGTTGCCAAAGACTTGTGGCATATTTTCAGAAAATACCAGCATGTGCTCTTAAGCTCGCTCTTAGGCATTAATTACGGATCACTGTCAGACACAGAATATCAGGTAGATGGGCCTTTGGTCTCACTTGGACAGCCACTTCTACCTTCTTAAAAGCTGCCAGTAAGTGAAAGCTGTGTTTCTAACCGTACAGACTTTTTCGTTGGGGTTTTTTTTTTTTTTTAAGCTAATCTCTAATGCTTTCGATACGCTGTAGGTCTTAGGCAGCAAACACACCAGCTATCCCACCAGAGGTACTGTTCACAAGAAATGCCCAACACCTCTCGCTGAGGCAGCTAGCAGAAATTAATGTTTGTACCATTAAGAACCACCTGTCGGGGCGGCTCTGCTGAAGCCAAAGAACAATATTACTGACACCGGAGTGCTTCCCGCAGATGTTAACTATGGAATCCGATTCAGGACTAAATAATTAGCTATTTAAGATATCTATCAGTCAGTAAAGTGCTGAACAGACCTAGTATAAGAGAAGTAAGAGAAGTAAAAACATTTTATTTGAAGGCTGTTTATAGTAAGATCACCTAGTCAAATCTTCACATACACTGTTCCAGCGTATTTTATCTTTCAATGTAAAATAGCTGGATCGAGCTCAAAACCCACTGTCACTCAACTGTGTAAGTCAAAGCAAATTTCAAGATTGCAGAAGGACGTGTAAGTTCTTATTAATTTTTAATATTAATTCTAGATACTGGCTGGCGTACTGCATTACTGAGGGTTTGGAGAACCAAAAAAAAAAAAAAAAAAAAATTGAGAAGAGCACTGATATAATGAAGATGGTCAAATACAAGCCATGTACCTCGCTTCTCTTCACCAGCCAATTATCTGGAAACTGCCTCTGGATAAAAGAATACCACCACTTGCTTGGACTGGATGATCTTAAACATCTTTTCCAACCTAAATGATTCTATAAACAATTCTAACTACATATTACTGTCAATCCCTTCCCAGATTTTCTTTGGCCAGAAACTTTAAAAAAAAAAAAAAAAAGTAGTTCTGGCAAGGAAAAGGAAAAAATGTAACAAAAAGTAAGTTCAGCTTTTTAGTCTTACAAATAACCTCAGTCCAATATCACCTTCCCTCCCCTGAACATGACTTGCAAATAAACAAACGTTTCTTTTTGCAAAGAAGTATTAAAAGATATATTCTGCAGGAAAAATGTCACTAACATTATTTCCACGTATGAAAGTACTCAACTAATTCTCACCTTCCAAATAAACAAGAACTTGCAGTGAGTGGAAACCTAATTCCATCAGTCCCATTCCGTTTAATTACAACAATATTCCCGAAGAGCGGCATCTTCAAGTGTAAGGAACCTTACCTATAAAAGAACGTCAAAATTACTCCTCCAAATAACGCTTTACATATCTATGACAGTAAATCAACGCAATTATTTTGTTTACTTCTGTTCAAGAGACATTTTCCAAGTACAGCAGAAGAATCTCAGTGCCATCTGCATGCGTTTGCCTGTGTAGAAAAGTGGGAAGTGCGATCATAGGTGGGAAGCTGAAGGCACTACGTGTTTGGAGAAACGGATGCTTATACCAAAAGTACAGTGGCAAAAGCAGCCACCACGTGTTCACGTAAACTCAGTTACACTGCTTTCACATACGCAATAAGGATTTGCTACCCATCAGAGCCTTTGCAAAGATCCGTGGCCAACTCATCCTATATTTCATCCCATATGCAACTTGAAACTATTTTCATGTAAACAGCCGCTCCTCCTCAGCCAAATCTAGATATTGCGCGTCCTCTTAGCGACACAGAACTTCTTAGGCTTGATCTTAGAGTGAACAGAGACCGACTGACTATAGTTGTCCTCCTGAAAAAGGAGAAAACGGTGGCGTTACCACGAAGGAGCAAGGACGGCTGGAAAGAAGGCCGAATGTTTAGCTGTCGCTAGGGTCTCTTGGCATGCGGCTGATACACCTGGAAGGGTGGCAAGTGCATCTGTGCGAGCACGGAGAAAGCAGAAGGCACGGCGTTTAACTTGAAAAAAAAAAACCAAGCCCCAAAAAACCAAACCGACAGCGATTGCACAACCAGATAGGCTATTCCTTTCACATGTAAATACGAGTGTGCCACCAAGTACAAGCAACCCCCCCAAAAAGCATATATAAGACGCATTACCACATAGTACACGGTTGAAAGTGGTTTGAAGCTGTTTATAGTAAGCCCTAATAGTAAGCCCTAATAACAAGGGCCCCAATGCAGTCAAGAGCGATGCTCCCGAGCTTTTTTGCCGAGTTTCAGACGATAAAATACTTGCTGAAAGCACAACACACCCCCTGGGACGAATCTGACAGCGCCCTTAAGAAAAGCCTTTACCTGTACGTCACAGGCCACGGCAGTCTTCAGTTTTCCCTACCCAAAGTGCCCTGTTCACGCTTTCCACAGGGAAAACGCCACACGGGCTGCAGGAGCCCGGCCT